TAGCAGCACCAAAGAATACAGTGTCAGTCCCCGAAGCTGAATTATACCCATTTATCAATTTTACCAAGAGCTGCCTAAGTATATGAAATATTATCACTAAGGGTGTGATGAGAATAATTGCTAGTCTGCCAATCCCCTGCAGTTTTTTGCACCACAAACAGAGACTAAACTCACTATTTGCTTCTCCAATACTCCCTCCACACACATACAAAAGTGATTCTTAGAGCATCAAGAAGGTTCTCTATTTATATACCACCTTGTCTCCTGGCCTTTTGAACAATGAGGCCTCACTAGGGTCTTCCCAGTGCTTTTGATGAAGAGGTGACATAGCTTAGCATCAGACAAAGTCCACTGGAGACAAAAATAGGAAGAGTCTGCATTTCCAAGAAGGTAAAATCAAATAACAGAGTGCATGTACCTGGTGAGCAAGATCAGAGACTCCCAAAATGGCAAAATTGAAAAGTGGTTTAAAGGTCATAACAGCTACCTACTTCAATACCTAATGCAGTCTATCTGAGATTCTAGATCCTAGATTTTAGTGCTGGGGTGGAGGGGAAAGGAAGGATGTATTGTGGAATCCCTAAAGACAAAAGAGATTGCTTTTCACTGTAAACTTCTCGCAAGCAGGAATTACATCCATGAAATTTTCCCTATATAGTATCTAGGAACGCAGGATGACTGTATGTCTACAGGGATCCATATTGAATATTTAAATATGGTGGACTCACACTCACGTTGCAATTCTATGAAGAATTTCAACAGTAGCTCATTTGCTAAAAGATCTCCCAGCAGCATTTGAAGCTATTTTCCATCAACAAGCAAGGAGAGATCTTGGCCTAAATGATACTTTAGGTTATTTTCATGGCCAGATATCAAGATCATTGGGCTCTGCAAAAACAATTGTTAACAGAAAATCCTGTGGCAGGGGTGGAGTAGGGGAAGAAATGAATCACAAAATTTTCTAAATTAAATGAACACACATAGTCAATGAGAGTCTCATTTTATGGAAATTTGATACTAATTTGTAATGTAGTTCCAGTAAATAATTAGAATTGAATTTACTGAAGCACCACATGCACCACAACCTTTTAAAAACATACCCACTGTATAAGGTTGGGCATACTTGCACACACTCCAGCTCCAATCGAAAGAATACCCAGCTATGATATTGGGAAATATTTTCATGCAGCACTCACCTTAAAACACAAGTGTAGAATCCACTGTCTTGTGCCTCAGCTGAATGAAACCATATTGAATCTTCCTCTTTGCTCATCCTGACCTCGGAAAAGATGATGGGCTCTTCCAAATCACCTTTGTTTTTGTACCACATAAGCCTGAGCCCAGTGCTCTGGGCCATGCTATAGTTGGTGCGAATATAACTGTAGAAAAGGGCACATTTCACTCGGACTGGTTCACCTGCCAAGGCCATGTATGTCTTGAGATCTACTGACCAGTCAATGCAGCCATCCACTGAAAGAAAATCAGATGAGGCATGAGATGCAGTGAGTATTGTGGATAATGGAAAGGATAACAATCATTGCCAATGTGTACTGAGGACTGAGTCAGGCACTATGTCAAGTGCTTTACACAGATTACCTCATTCAATCTTCCTAGTGATCTTATGAGATAGACCAGCATCTTCCTTAGACCTGTGCAAGCAGGATCCCTGCTCTAGCTCTCTATCTCTGGGATATTTCCAATCCCATACAGTAACATCCTGCTTGGGGTTGATCCTCCAAGGAGTTCCAGCACTTGTGCCTATGGGGTTTCCCTGAGGTCCTATGGCTAGGTCCCAATGCCAGCAGAGTGTGAGACTGAATTACTAGAATCACACTGACATGATTTTAGGTGACTCAAATTGTTTATATAGATGAGACCTGACAAAACAAATACTTCCACAGGACCTCTGTCCAGCCCAGGAGCAGCACTGAGATTGACACTTATTATTCTTATTTTATAGATGAGAAAACTGAGACTCAGAGAAGTTACTTTTCCCAAGGTCACACACCTAATAAGTGGAAGAAAAACAGTGTCTGATTCCAGAGACTTGTGTTTTTTAATCCCTTTGCTATACTGCCTCTGCCTATAATTGTGACAGGAATCACTGTTATTTGCCTTTGGAAAATAAATGCCAGGGTTGGAAGCAGTGGGCACCTAAAGTAATTATTTGCCATTATCTACATGCCAGTTTTCTACGGTATGACCTATTAATAGCAGATATTTAATCACAGTTTGATTTATTTTTATACTCTTAGGCCTCCCTTGCTGCTCAGCTGGTATGTGCTCATGAGAATATATTATATTAATGTCAGTTTTTATCCAATAATATTAGGTGATTAAATCTACCATTAAAGAAAGACATACAGAGTAAATTCCCTATTTTCCAGAAGAGTTGGAAGTGAGACACTGTGGCTAATAAGCCAATCAATACAATTAGCGGACAGTTTTCCTTCAATTGCTTATTTTCAAAAAAATTCATCAAATTATGCTATATTCCTTTATGTTACTTGATTATCCTTTATAAAATAATCCTCTCATAAACTGTATAAACACTGCCATTTTAAAACTATGTTTCACTTATGATTTTTGAATTGATCTGCTTCCTTTTTTAAATGTTGAGAACTTTGTAATCCAGTGTGTTTCTCTTTTAACCTCAGTTGACTGGAAACTCAGCTAAATACAGTGTTCAAGTGTAATAACTATCTAGCTTCAGGATTTTGCATTCTCTATAAGAGGGGTTCTTTACTTGGGGTTCAGGGACACCCAGGGAGAGGGTGCCTGGAAAGAGTCCAAGGTCGTTAGCAAACTGTTGTGCCTATGTACATAGTTATACTTTTCTGGGGGAGATGTTCACAGCTCTTTCTAAGATCTTTGAATGGATCCATAGCCCACTGAAGTTTTTGAATTCTCTGGTTACTGGTCTTTCTTTCTGACCTAATTTTTCACTGCCCTGATGCATATGGGTTTTTATTATAAATTCCCTCAAATCCTCTTATAGTATGTGAAGTATTCATTAGAAATAAACCAATAATCAAATAAATAGCTCATTCTAAATTTATGCTGAAGGGCATTGAACTTTCCTTGCGGATTCAGAGGGCACGAGATTCATCACTCTGGATTCTGATGACCATTGCATACTGTCAAAGTCAAGAAGGTACACCTGGATTGAAATAAATATGTACTGATCACTTGCTATCTCTTGAAGGGCTTTTTTATTCACTCCCTGGTATCAGTTGTTTACCTGTCATTTGTCTCATAACTGTCAAGAACAAAGAAAGGGAAATCTGCATTAGTTGAACTTTCTGGGTCATGGTAAATTATTGATGATACATCTCTAGATGAATATAATTTTAATATTTATTGTTTTATTATCTTTAAATGAATTTTGTATTATTCCTTTTTATGGATTATCTGTGTTACTGTTCCCATGCATTAACACAGCTGACAGATAATATAAATGTTTTTTCTTAGGAAATATATATTTTTTCCTAGTTTTATTTTAAAAGTTCGTTAATACAAAGAAAACATGGGCATAGATTAAAAAGAACTCTTTAATATTCCAGTTTTTGTTTTCCCCTAACCATAAGGTACATAGCAAGTGTTTTTGAATCAACAAATTTGTCTTGGCAACCTCTATAATTACCTAATTGATAGGAACCTCTATAATTACCTGATTGATAGGAAAAATAAAATTTTCAGAGTGATTTTTCCATTTTCACCCTAAATCCCTTTAGTTACCTCCTCTAAGTGATCTTTTGCATAATCTATACCTTTATAATGTTAACAGGCTGTTTGGCCCTTTAGTTACAAGGCATGGTTGGTATTGAAGATAATCAAAGTATCTGCTACTGTAATAAAACAATCATGCTCAAAAGCAGCTGAAGACATTCAATTGCCATTACAGTTAGCTTTATCATATAGACCTTGAGGGTACACTGAGAATTCATTTCCTTTTAAGTACTATCTGAGCAAAATGTCTTTGATCCAATAGATTCATGGTTTCTTTTCTTCTATTCCCTTGCTTTAGGTAGCAGAGGAAGTATTTAGTTTTAAGATAGTCAGTAGACAGAAAAAAGATATGTAATAATGAGAACAACAATTTCCAAACATTATCCCATTTATCTTTTTCCTTTGGTATTCCCAATACGAGGTGAAAACATAAGGTATCTCAAGTGACCTGAGGAAATTTTCCCCAAAAGTTAAACAGAGGATATGAAACCGAGGATCCAATAAAGGCCTACCTGCCAC